CTACTACTACTACTACTACTATGGATACTACTATTATTACTACTACTACTACTTAAACTACTACTACTACTACTACTACTACTACTACTACTACTACTACTACTACTACTACTACTACTACTACTACTACTACTACTACTACTACTACTACTACTACTATTACTACTATTACTACCTACTACTACTATTACTACGACTACTACTACTACTACTACTACTACTACTACTACTACTACTACTACTACTACTACGACTACGACTACGACTACGGCTACGACTACGACTGCTACTACTGCTATTTTAACGATAACTACGACGACAACGACGACGACGACTACTACTACTACTACTACGATTAATAATAATAATAATAATAATACTCAACCTCATCCTCCTTTTCCTTCGCTACCCCGACGTTGATCGAATCGATCGCCGCGTCTGTCCTCCTCATCATCCTCCTCCTCCTCATCCTCCTCCTCTTCACCCTCCTCATCCTCTTCCGCCTCCCCCTCCCCCTCCTCCAACTCCTCCTCCGTCCCTCCACCCTCCCTCCTTCTCTTGCTCCCTCCTCCTCCTCACCTTCACCCGTCCACAACCTATATTCGTCATTTATTGTCGTCGTCATATTCGTCGTCGTTCGAAGATCTGGGCTCGACGAGCAGAGGCGGGCTGGCTCCACGCCCGCGCTAGGCGGGCGCATGTTCCCTAGCACGAGGGCGCACCTATGGTAAGGCCTCGGGTTGCGCACAGACAGCCCCCCCACGTAGTCCCAGCTGGCCTCAACAGGCCCTCCGAGTAGTCAGGGCCAGTCTCAACACTCTGGCGCCGCCTCTGGCGGCGCCCTTGGGGCGTTCCGTGCCACAGGGTTGGGGTGCTGAGAGCGTCCTGGAATACTCGGGGGGCCACTGGGGACCAGCTGGTTCCAAAGACGCTAGTCTTAGCAGCGAAGTGCCAGCGCTATACAGCCGCCAAGAGGCCACGCTACGAAGTGTCGCCATGCGGCCCTCGAGGTGGTGTGCTCAAGACGAGAGGTGTGGACGCGGCACAATTGGAGGAACAACACACAGCATAAGCATAGTTTATCTGTGGTCCGCGCGGATGTCTTGGATCGGCGCTGCCCCCCCCTCCCTGGCGCGCGGAGCGCGCCAGGGACGGAGCCGTCTTGGAGGCCATCCTAGGGCATCTTCACTTACGATGAGCTTACGTGCTTACGCAGAGCCTACGCGGACCTTACGCGGAGTTTACACGCTTACGCGGAGCTTGCGCGGAGCTTACGCGGAGCTTATGTGCTGATGATACGATGGTGGATATAGAAACGCGACTAGTTTACGCGCTTAAGCGCTTATGCGGCGCTTGGGCGGCGCTTACGCGAGCCTACACGGAGCTTACGCAGGGCGTGTTACAATCTGGGTTTGCAGATGCCACTCTGTCAATTTCTCCCGGATAACGGATCACACGCTACGCGCGTTTTCAGACACCTGCTCGCCACGGGGACGGAAGGCGTATGATCTTCAGAGCGCAAGAGATCGCTGGCTCGTCCACCATCACACCTCTCACTTCCCATCTTCCCCTCGCCGATTGCTATCCCATCATGTTCTTCCGCACCCCTGCTCTCTTGACTGTAATGTCCCGGCGTGGCCCTTTCTGTCGTGCCCCGGGTTTCTGGGCAGGCCTCTTTGGGCACTCTTGTGCCCTCCGTGGGCCGTCTTTAAGCTCTCGTGGGCAGTCTTGGGGCTCGCGTGGGTCGTCTTAAGGCCCTCTTGGGATGCTCTTGGGCCGTCCTGGTATTGGGTGCGCAGAGGCTCGCGAACGCCCTGCCGCAGCGAACACACAAGCTGCTGCCACTGGGCGAAGCCCTGCCTGTGATATGGCTTGAGCCAAAAAGCCAATGCGACGCCCGACCCACCTGGGGGCCTGTTGTTCGTCTGGTTTCTTCAAGCCTCCTCCTCCTCCATCTCCTCCTCCTCCTCCTCCTCCTCCTCCTCCTCCTCCTCCTCCTCCATATCCTCCTCCTCCTCCTCCTCCTCCCTCCCTCCTCCTCTCTCTCCTTCTCCTCCTCCTCCTCTCCTCCTCCTCCTCCTCCTCCCCGTCCTCCTCCTCCTCCTCCGCCTCCTCCTCCTCCTCCTCCTCCTCCTCCTCCTCCTCCTCCTCCTCCTCTCCTCCTCCCTCCTCCTCCTCCTCCTCCTCCTCCTCCTCCTCTCCAAACAGTGGATGCGTGAACCGAAACCCCGCTGCGAAAGGTTGCGACCCCGTTGAATCGTTGTTCTCTCCGTTTGAACCGCCCGCCCTCCCAAACCGTATATTTTCCTTGTTCGGGCTGCCCTGTTTCTCCTTGTCGACCGCGCCCTGTTCAGAACCTCGTTTTCCCCGTCTGGACTGCCCGCTGCCCGAATGGGGCGATTTCCCCGCTCTGACCGCCCATCTCTGCTTGGCGCTAGCGGCCGCGGCCAGAAGGTGCAAAGCGAACCAGCATTGGGGGAGGGGGAGGGGGAGGAGCAGGGGGAGGAGGAGGCGGAGTAGGAGGAGGAGGAGGAGGAGGAGCAGCAGCAGCAGGAGGAGGACGAGGGGGAGGAGGAGGAGGAGGATGAGGAGGAGGAGGAGGAAGAGGAAGAAGAGGAGGAGGCGGAGTAGGAGGAGGAGGAGGAGGAGGAGCAGGAGGAGGAGGACGAGGGGGAGAAGGAGGAGCAGGAGGAGGAGGAGAAGGAGGAGGAGGAGGAGCAGGGGGAGGGGAAGGGGGAGGGGGAGGAGGAGGAGGAGAAGGAGGAGGCCTCGCGCCGGCTCGAGGAGGAGGGGGGCCGCAGGCTCGCGCGGGCCTGCAGGAGGCGTTGGCCCCCGTACTGCGCTCCGAGCGGCGCTGGGGCACCGCCCCCTTCTGCCCCCGGAATCCACGCAGAGCAGCTACCGCAGGTCCGTGCCGTGTCGACCCTGGCGTTGGTTCCTGACACCGCGCTGGATCGTTCAACCTTGAACGATCGGCCGCTGCCGCAACGTCCGATCGTTCAACATCGACCGATTCTGGGTCGCCGGCGGCGTTCAACCTTGAACGTCCGCGCTGGGGTCGCCGCCGGTCGACACGACGCAAACCTACCGTACCCGTGCAGGCCCAGGGCGTTTTGGGGGGCGTCGGGGGGAGAGGGGCACGCAGGATGCGGGGCTGCAGAGCGCGCGTGAGAGACAGAGAGAAAGAGAGAGAGAGAGAGAGAGAGAGTCAGCGAGAGAGTGAGAGCGTGATAGAGAGAGAGAGAGAGAGACAACGAGAAAGAGAAATAGGGAGAGAGAGAGATGAAAAGAGAGAGAGAGAGAGAGACAGAGATGTCGCAACTTTCATCGCTGAGCTGGCGCAAAGCGGTGGCGCGCGTCAGGCGGGGGGCATCTCAGAAGGGCACGCAGGGCTCGGCAAGCACTGCGTCCTCTGGCCCTGCGCTGCCGCCACAGGCGTGCTCGCGCATTCGCGCAACATGTCTTGCTCGCCCTCCACGAGCACCGGCTGGTTGGACGCGCGGCTCCGGAGACGCGGACGAGCGCTTCCAGAGCGGATCCGTGCGCGGCCCAGGCTGAAAACCCGCTTCCGCCGTCAGTATCCTCTGTGCACCTCCTCCTCCTCCTCCTCCTCCTCCTCCTCCGCCTCCTCCTCCCTCCTCCTCCTCCTCCTCCTCCTCCTCCTCCTCCTCCTCCTCCTCCTCCTCCTCCTGCTGTCGCAAGATGCCGCCCCCTCCTCTTGTGCGCGGCCGTCGTGCGCACCAGCATCAGATCGTCAGCAGCTGGAGCTGCAAGGGCCAGCTCTGCACGCCGCACGCACAGAGCCGATTCAAGCCTGTCAGCCGCAGAAGATGAGACGGCGCCATGACCCCCCCCCCGCGCCACGCCCGTCAGCATCCGCATTCAGCGATAGCTCGCGACGCACGTGGCTCTCAACTGCAAGCATCCTCGCCCCCGTCCCAACCCTTACAGGGCTCGGGCGAGCGGATGCCACCACCACCACCACTACCATGACCATCATCATCATCATCATCATCATCATCATCATCATCATCATCATCATCATCATCATCATCATCATCATCATCATCATCATAATAATCGTCATCATCATCATCATCATCATCATCATCAGCATCATCATCATCATCATCAGCAGCAGCAGCACATCAGCATCAGCAGCAGCAGCATCATCATCATAATCATCATCATCATCATGATCATCATCATCATCATCGTCGTCATCATCATCATAATCATCATCAGCATCATCATCATCAGCAGCAGCATCATCATCAACAGCAGCATCAGCATCATCATCATCAGCATCATCATAAGCATCATCATCGTCGTCATCATCATGATGATCATCATCAGCAGCATCATCATCAGCAGCATCATCAGAATCACCGTGATCATCATCATCAGCATCATCATCAGCAGCATCATCAGAATCAGCAAGATCAGTCATAATCATCGCCATCATCATCATGAGCATCATCATCATCAGCTTCATCATCATCGTCATCGTCATCCACTTCATAATCGTCAGCATCAGCATCGTCATCATCAGCATCACCATCATCAGCATCAGCATCACCATCATCATCATCATCATCATCATCATCAGCATCAGCCTCGTCAGCATCAGCATCATCATCAGCATCATCATCAGCAGCATCATCATCAGCATCAGCAGCATCAGACTCAACATCATCATCAGCAGCAGAAGCATAATCATCATCATCAGCATCATCATCACCTTTTACCCTCATCGTCATTATCATCCGCCTCATAATCATCAGCAGCACCATCATCATCCTCATCATCACCATCGTTACCATCATCATCATCATCATCATCATCATCATCATCATCATCATCATCATCATCATCATCATAATCAGCATCAGCATCAGCATCATCATCATCATCCGCATCGTCATCATCAGCATCATCATCACCAGCATCATCATCAGCTGCAGCATCATCATCAGCATCAGCAGCATCATCACCAGCATGATCATCATCATCATCATCAGCATCATCATCATCATCGTCATCATAATCAGCATCATCATCATCACCATCACCATCATCATCAGCAGCAGCATCATCATCGCTCTCCCCCTTCATTCTCCTGAACAGCGCAAGTGCCGAATCCAGTATCGCATCGTGGGACATTAAAGGCTACGCAGAAGCGAAGCGAAACAAATTGAACATCAAAGCGATCAGAGCGTGCTTGAGTGGGGTTCCTAGCAGCCCCATGGGTCTGGAGATCGGTCGTGGGGTTCTGACAGGCTACACCCAGAATGGAGCCCTTGACGCTACGAGTGCCAGAGGGGAAGGTCGTTTTCTTCTCCGCCTACGCGCCACACAGTGGCAAACCTCAAACAGCGGCCCATTTTCTTCCACGATCTTGCAGAATTCGTTGAATCCAGATCCGCCCATGGACCCAAGCTTGTTCGGCGACTTGAACGCAGAACTTTATCGCAGATTCGATTGGGAACATTCGTTGGCCCACATGTGCTGCTCTGCCCGCAGGGGGCAGCAAACAGGACGCTAGCAGACACTTGCTTGTGGAGATCTGCGCGCATCTAGGCATGCGTTTGGCGACCACGTTAATTGACGTTCCTCTGGATCTCCTGGCGACGTCTTACAACGTCGGCACCCTGGCGTGCACAGAGATTGGATGGCAGACGTACTCGCAGATCGATTTCTCATGTGAGAACAGAGCTGGCTCTACGAAGTCAGAGGCGTGTCTGCGCGCTGGGAGGTGCCCTTATCCTCCCACCATTCCCTGCTGGAGGCGTCGGTGGTGCTAGGCGTTGACAAATGCGGCCGGGAACCTTCGCGCCGTCGAGATCGCAGCCTCATCTCGCAGCCGTGGGCAAGGCGGGATCTAGCCACGCACTTGTCAGACTCTCTGGAAGCATTTGAGGACGAGGCGCCTGAACACAGCAACGTGAACTTGGAATGGTGCCGTTTGGTTGACAGCTTCAAGCACACTGAAGAATGCTCCCTGCCACTAGAGACCCAAAGAAGACGAAAGCATTCGATGAGCAATGACACCTTCGAGCTGATCAGAGCACGCGATCGCAGGCCAGACTCGCTGGCGACGTCGCGCGCGAGAGAGAGGCTGTAAAACGCATCAGAGCGTTGGTCACAAGGGACTGGGCTCGATGGCTACAAGAATTGACACAGAACGGTGACAGGGCGCAGACCCGTAAAATACGCCAAGGGTTTGCCCTGCACGAGGTCGGCTCCGCGGCAGCGCGGGCGAAGTGGTCGGCATGCGAAAAGCGGGCCGACGCTGGCAAAGCACTTGGAAACTGTCTACTAGGCTGTCTGGCCAACCACAGCATGGCCGGACACATCTGCGCTGAGCGAAGAGCTGCCGGTGAGCTTGAGTGCCATCACGGTGGGCGAAATCTCTCGGGCTGCAAAGAAGTTGAAAAACGGTCGCGCTGGCGGCCTCGATGATCCGCCGCCCGAGGTCGGGAAAACCGCTGCAGAGGACGAAGGCCTGCGCTCGCTTGAGATACTCAAACCTGATTATGCCATGTCGCGTGGACGCAGGGTCGTGTCCCTGACGCCTGGCACGAGGCGCGTGTCCGCATGATCTACCAAAAAGGCAACCTGGCAGCGCGCGACAACTACAGGCCGGCATGCCTGCCTCCCACCGGGTACAGGGTGTTCGCGATGCTCCTGTAGCAAAGGCTGAAGGATGCTGTGGCCGAAGACCGCCCCTGACCAACTCGAGTCTGCTTTCGCTCGAAAAGAGGCACCGCTGATGCGATCCTCGTGGCGAGACGAGTCATAGAGGACGCCTGGCCAAATAAGAGCCGGCAGCACGATGCATTTGGCTCGAGATTGGGCTAAAGCATTCGGCTCGCTGGTGCCAAGCGCTTTGGCAACCTGGCTCAAGATATTTGGGTGCCCAGACAGATTCGTCGATGTGGTCAACTCGCTTTACAGTGCCAGGACGTTTTGTGGTGTCCGATTTCGGTGTATCGTCCGCTGAACGGGACCAGTGTTTTGGCATTTGCCAAGGGTGTCAATTGTCGCCGTTTCTGCTCGCCATCGTCATAACGACTTTGATGGCAGACGCGCACAAGAACCTCTGGCTGCGGTTACCAAATATTCCCGACGAGCACTTCGTCCGCGAACTGATTTACGCGGACGACACTTTGCTACTCGATGCTGACCTCGTCGTGGTGGGCGAGCTGATTGCGTGCGTCGAGGACTGCGGCGAGCACTACGGTTTGAGTCTGAACTGGAGGAAAATGGAGCTGATGAAGGTCCGCTCTGACGCTCACCTGCAGAACAGCGCTGGAGATCAAGTGCAAGAAGAAAAGCTCTGACGCTCTGACCTACCTCGACACCCGGCTCGCGTCGGACGGGCGATACGGACTGGAGCTGAACATGAGAATCGGCATGGCCAAACACGATTTCAAAGCATTGACATCAGTGTGGTAACATTCTTCGATGAGCAGGCAGAGGAGAGTAACAAGTTGCAGCGCGAGCATTGTTTCCAAGCTTATGTACTCTCTGTTGCAGCTTGTCTTCATCAAGTAGAACATACAAGAATGAACGGCTTGCAGACAGGCCGTTTGAGGTCGATATTTCGGGCCCCATCTGCATGTACCAGTCGCGTGTCGAACAGTGCCGTGCTAAGCATGGCTCGTAAGCGGCCACTCAGCGAGCCCATCCACTGACAAATGATTTTTTGGGGCAGCTCGCCAAGCGTGCGGGCAACAATCCAGTGAGACAGTCGGTGTTTGAACTAGGCAGCCTCGCTCTCAAGCAGCCGACACAGGCCCCCGAAAGAGAGGGCGTCCCCGGCAAACATGGGGAAGAATGGTAATGAACAATTGTTTGGTCATTGCTGGCACGCCTGCTCGTCTTGTTGACTACTTCCGCCCGGAGGGCGGTGCAGGTCCGACATGGGAAAGCTGGCGGCGTATGGCACCTTCGATTTCCATGTTGTGGCACAGTCTCTTACTTGCGCACCGCCTGGTGCAAGACGGCCTGATCTGACCTGACCTTCCTTCTCCTCCCCCTCCTCCTGTTCCTCCCACTCCCACTTCTCCATCAACGATTACGACCGACAAGATCGCCGATCACGGACGACGACGACGACAACCACGACAACCACGACAACCACGACGACCACGACCACGACCACGATCACGACCACGACCACGACCACCACGACGACCACGACGACCACTACGACGGACGGCGGACGACGACGGACGACGGACGACGACGACGACGGACGAGGACGACGATTTCGATGGACGACAACGACGGACGACGACGACAGCGACGGCGCCGGACGACGGACGACGGACGACGGACGACGACGCACCGCGGCAAAAGACCACGACGACAACGACGACGAGGTCGCGCGCGGCCCCGCCTGCGGCGCCCGACCTGCCCGCGGCGCCCGCCGCCCCGGCCTCCTCGCGCGGCGGCCGCCCGCGGCCGCGGCGGCGGCGGCGGCGACGACGACGACGACAAAGACGAACACGAAAACCACGACGACGAACACGATGATGACGGCGACATCAGAAAGACGAAGACGACGGACGACGACGGCAAGTACGGCGGCGGCGAAGGCGACGACGAAGACGGCGACGGCGACGGCGACAGCGGCAGCGGCGGCCCTCAGATCGGAGACCCCGGGACATTCTCGGACGTTCCCGTCGCCGCGGACCAGAATGGTGCCAGGGAGGGTCTGGCAGGACTGGCGACGGCGTCGGCGGGAGGTTCTCGGGGGTTCCACGTCGCTTTTCCGCGGTCCTGCGGGGTTGTTTTTTTGCTGTCCCGGTGACGTTGGGAATGCTTAGTGGTAGTTATGGGGTTTTTTTCTTCCCTTCAGGATATGTTGATGTTGCTGCCTGGGCCCCAATTCAAAATCAAACCAGCTGCTCGAAACGAGCGCTGCGCATCTAGCATGTATGTGCGAAAAAGAAGACATGCTCAAAGGTGCCTGGCGTGGGGCGATGCGCCAAGAAAAACGTCAATTTGCAGTATGACTGTTCCATACTCTTCGCGACGTTGCTGGACGGCGACGACAACGGCGTCGGGAGGTTCCCGAGGGGGTCGGCTGCTCGTCTGCGATCCTCCTGAGATTCAGGGGGCTTCATGACGGAGCTGGGAGGCATTGGGATATTGCCAAAACAACCACAAGTCGAGACGGAACATCCAATCGGTAACCGAAAAAAAAACCAAAAAATCGGAAAGCGTCGAAATCGACGTCTGCCGGCCCGAGCCGGGGCGCTTAAGGAAATCAAAAGAAAAACGCAACGCAGAGTAGAGTCGAATCGAGTCGGCTCGAATCGGCGGAGTGGAAACGGCCCCTGCGTTGTTGGACGGCGAAGGCAACGGCGGCGGCGGCAATCACGGCGGCGGGGGGCCGGGACGTTTGTTATTGAGCTTGTCCTGGCATTCGCAACAACGCCCGTTGCCAACCTGGCCCCCCCTTCCCCATCCCACCCTCGTAACGCCACGATTCGCGCCAGCGCCGTCTGGGCATCAGCCATTATTGCGCATTTTGCTTAAACAGCGACAACCCAGCAACGCAGCGAAGCCAGCGACATGTCAAATCCCACCAGCCATTCGGGCGAAGGTGGTCTAGCGAGTTATTTTCTCTTCCAAAACCTGTTTCCCTTCAGGGAGGAGTACCTTCCCCCCAAAAAAATTGTTCGAGGGCGGGCCGTGATGTGTTAGAGTCTCTGTTCGCCCAAGACTGCCCCAAAAGTGCCTACGATGCTCCGAATTGGCCTCCAAAGCGGCTCAAGATAGCCGAAGATGGTTTGAGAAAATGTCCGAAACACCACGAAAAACTCCGACGAGGGCCACAAAGACGGTTCCGAATTCCAAGTGTTATTGCGTCCCTTCAGAACCACCCAGGAACAAAACATCCTTCACAAACTTTTAGAACATCACGTACCCCAGCAAAGCACCCTCATAGTAGCTAAAGTATGGAGGCGGGCGGACGCCTGAAACGCCAGTTTGCGAAAACGACCTCAATATCTTGTCGACACGATTACGGAGTTGAACTTGCGGATGAGGGTCACGTCCGTAATGTCGTCATGGTGGCATGAGCGCGCTTGGAAAAGCTAGTGATCAAGAGACTCCACCCTTGCAAGAGTAAAACCAAGAGGGGGAACAGAAGTACGACCTGGCAAACATTGAACCACTGGCAACGGAGGAGCTAAAGGACTATTTCTCAACCTCCCCCTCCTCCCGCTCCTCCTCCTCCTCCTTTTTGTTTCTCCTCCTCCTCGTCCTTCTCTTCCTTTTCCTCCTCCTCCTCCTCCTCCTCCTCCTCCTCCTCCTCCTCCTCCTCCCCCTCCTTCTCCTCCTCCTCCTCCTCCTCCTCCTCCTCCTCCTCCTCGTCGTCGTCCTCCTCCTCATATTCCAAGTTCCCCCCCTCCTCGTTAGCCGGGTTCGAACTTCAATCAGATTTCGCCCCTATCCCTGCATTTCTCCTCCAAGACCATCCACTCGCGGCCCACACCTCACGTTCACGAGCACTCTTCCGTCTCCTCCTCCTCCTCCTGTGCCTCCTCCCCCCCCTCTTCAGCCAACTCCCCCCCTCCCCGGCGCAGTCCTGCCATGATGCAGATCTTGGGACGGATCGCGATATAGACCTAGGACAGCTGGAATGATGAGAACCCGATGCCACTGCCACAGTTTCTGGACGGAAGAACTGGAATGGTGAGAACCCTGTGGCCCCGCCATCTATGTCGAACCCAAAACAGCTGACAGGATATGAGTCCGACACTCTTGCCACCTTTTTTCTACGGCAGTTGGAACGGTGAAAACCCGATACCTCAGCCACATTTTTTGGACCTCGGACACTTCGAAATTGAAGGAATATGCTGCCCGTGCTACACTGCCTGCACCGAAAGCAACTGGAACGATAACAACGCCACGCACCCGCCACAGTTTCTTGACCTGTGGCAGCTGGAATGGTGAGAAATGCCGATGGCCCTGCGACACGTTCTGGACCTAGGACATCTTGAATGGTGTGAATCCGATGCCCCTGCAACGGCTGAAACCGAACCCGAGCTCCATCGTGCGCTTCATGTCTAAATGTGCTACCTGAAATGGAGCGAGAACAGCTCACCTGGAATGGTGAGGATCCTACGCCCCTGCCACAACTTCTGAGTCTGCGATGGCTGAAATCGGGCCCGAGATCTGCGACTGCTGAGCTCGAGCCAGAACAATCGCCCCCCCTCGTGGAGAGCCCGACGGGGCGAATCTACAGACGGAAATCGAGCCAGAACGCTATGGTGAGTTTCCTTTATGGACCAAATCGAACCATAACGCCATAGTGAATGTTATGTCATGGGTATGAGACGGTTAAAAACGAGCCAAACACACACTAGCGAACTTCATTTCTTCACCGAACCAAACCAGAATGCCAGAACGAAACTCATTTCTGGATCGGCCAAAACTGAAATCGAGCCAAAGTATTACGATGAATCGAATCCGGACCACCGCCCGGCCGGCGAGACGCCTCCCGCGCCCCGCCCCCCCCGCGGGAGAATTCCGGCAAGGCTGGAGTCGACGCAGGACACAATAGCAAAACTTGAACGGGTAGTTCCAAGACATGACTGTCAATAACAAAACACATGTTACAGGGATGTCGAGTCGCCGGATGGCGATGGAGGAGAAAAGGGCCCCCCCCTGCGAACGCCGCAAATCAAGCGAAGGCAACGCCGCCGACGCAAGCAGATAGGGCGGCGCTGCCTTGAACCAAGACGGCAGCGGCATCAAGCAAACTCATGTCCTTCCGCAGAACAGACCCCCAGAGTTGAGGGGGTCAACGAAGCCTGACCGCTGCGGTCCAGTGGTAGGCCCAATTCAAACGCAAAGTGCCAGGTAGCCGTCTAAAGCGGCTGCTCCAGTTACAGTGCGACAATGGCCAAGAAGGAAAACGGAGGTGGAAAGTACTGGACCACGTCTCCATGAACCAGCGCACTCAGCACCAAAATGTGGCAGGGCAAAGTAAGCAGAGCAAATGCAGCCCATGCTGGGCCAGCCAGAAGGCAGCCCGGCAAGCCCTGGAGAGCGCCGACGGGGGCCGACCCCACATCGGCAGAATGGTCGCCAGCCTTCGCGCGAAAACCAAGCTAAGGCCAAGCAAGCTCCAACAAAATTTCAACTACTCGGAAAAAGGCTGGCCCAAGGAGCGCGGAGACACGCTCACTCCCTGGCTGTCCTGCGTCCGCGACGCAAACCAGGCAAGAGGGGCGCGGGCGCGCGCGGCCGTCGCCATTCCGCGACAGCTCACGCAACTGTCGACAGCGGCCGAGCAATCCCCCAGACAACGCAGGGCCCAACAAGGCGCTTGAACAACGGCGACACCACGCATTGGCAATTGGAGATGCACCACGACATGGCGCGCATGTCTTATCATCCTGCGTGCAACCCTTGCATCCATTCATAATCTGCACGGCTAAACCCCGATCGGGCAAACCTTTTTGGCATGTCCATCTGCCTTCATATCGGGGGCGCCACACCAATGGGCAATGTCCAGAACGCCAATCCCAAAACATTCCGCGATCCAGCTTACGCGACGGGGCAACGTCTTCTCGGCGGCGAGCGCTGTTCTTGCTTTTTACACAAAAAGTTTCTGCCAGCGAGAGACTTCAACGCAGATTCAGCGTTGATCGCGAGAACTACCTCGACGCGGAGTTCACTGCGGTCACGAGGCCGTTTCAATCCAGATGGGGTCAAAAGGCCCTTGATGAGCTCACGCAGCGCCACTAAGGTCGGGCGGCACTCGCCCGCGCTACGGGCCGCAGCCACTGCGTCGGCAACACAGCTGGATCGAACCTGGAGGCGATGACATTCGCATTGGCTCTCGATGCCGCGGGCGATCTCTCCCCCGCCGCACGCGATTCTACGACGCAAACAGTTGCACCCCCGAAATCCATGGCCCCCTGTTTCATCGCCCTCCTCTCCAGTGAGTTTCCGCAGCCAGAATCGCCGCGTCGATCAACATCATCAGGAGCCATGGCACGGTAAGTGATCTTCGCGGGGTCCTGTATTAGATGCGCGCGCGAAGGCGCTGAGTCGCCTCGCCCCGAGGTCGGCTGGTCGCTGAATGCGTCGCGGTAACGCAATGTATCCCATCATCCAGAATTGGGTCAGCGCCGGGCAGGCGAGAGCTCCCCACAGACTGCCAAACAGACCACTGATAGGCTGATTCGCCGGTGCCCCCGGCGAAACTCCGACGAGATCGGGGCGCGCGATCGGGCGCAGCTGTTGCGCGCATTCGCCTCGGTTCACGATCCCGTCGCCGCCGTCGGCCGCCGCGCGCCTGACTGCGCGATGAAATTTCTTCTCGCGCGCATCTCTCATTTGCACGTGCAAAACACCTGATTCAACCGAGTGCGCGTCGGAGTCAACACGCCCCCCCCCCCCCCCCCACGCGCGCGTCGACGCCATTCGCGCGCGCGGCAGAAAGGGCCAGGCGCAACCTCACATTCTAAATCATATGACATTGATCAAAGCCCGATACTGCCGGGCGTCGGCTCGGGCATCAGCGAGAAGGCCCGCGGCGCGTCTTCGTCTCCAGCCGCTCAAAGCCGGGCCCTGTCGCAGACCCGACGCCTGGGCAGCGCGCGTAGAACCGATGCGCCCCCAGGAGGCAGCGCGAAACGCACTGCGCGCTCTTGCCCCCGCGCGCCCTCCGCGAACCCCCGATAAAATACGCCATCGACGGAACGCCTCGTCGACATCCCAGCGGGCCAAGATCCGGCCCCCACGGCTTGCAGCCGCGCTCGCTGGCATTCGCTGCGAGGCACGCGCGCGCGCCCCCGAAAATTTCTCCACCGGGAAGGCTTCCTGTTCAAGCCTCTCAACACGAGTCGTGGACGGATAATTCTCTCGGTCCGGCCCTTCTTTTTCGCGTCATATTTTTCGTCTATAAACGGATCCCGACGCCATCATGTCCCGGGCCATCGATAAAGACTCTGCGGCGCAGAGTCTGCTCTCCAGCCAGGTCTCGAGCTCAGCTGGGAAAGCGTTCGGCGTTTAGAAAAGAGGTACAATATGGTTCCGTCAGTAATCGCCCTCTCTCTCTGCCGCAGTCCGCCCGATCTCCGCCTGAGAATACGCGCGCACACGGTTGCCGCGTCATCAACGCACATGAATGCCAACTGCGATTCATCAAAGATACCAACTTTGGCCGCGTCGTCGGCGACGCACAATCCGGCGCGCCCGCCGCGGCCATCGGCGTCGACATCGCAGTCGCCGCCAGAGGGCGCTCGCCGACGCGTCGACGGCCGCGGCGCAATCACCCGACCGCGGGCGAGAGAACAGCACGTCGCGTTGGACGCGCTCACCAAGACCGCTGTCTTCCGCCCGAGACACGCAGCCATCATTTGCACGCGATGCCAGGACGGCGCTGGCGGGCATAAGAGGATAGACACCACGTAAAGACGCTGAGAATATGCGGTCAGCGGGGGCTCCTCGACGCTCGCGGTCGGAGTTGACCGGCCCTTGGTACCAATTGTGCATCAACATCACGTCCTTCTACGCCTCGCTGTCTCCTCCTCGGACAGCGGATGGCCGGTCGGCACCTCGGGCCCCGCGGGCGCCCGTGGGAGGCCCGCGATTCCATGTTCGTCGCCATCCCGAGGGCCGTCGGCGAAGCCAGGAAATCTCGAGAGGCCCCCGTGAAAGAAGCGCGTAGATCCTGAAGAGGCCACGCGCTGCTCTGGTCGAGCATAACTGATGCCTGAGATCTGGGATACTCAAAAATCCAGTCTCTAATGACTCGCAGCATCGGACACCGAATGGGACGTCGTGATCTTACTATATCAGTGCAATGCGATCAGCACCTGGAAAAGGCGATAGGGCATGAACGCCTTCGGCCTGCCTGATACCTGTGACACACCCGGTCCTGACACGAGTGCCACGATACGCGGCAACACCACATGTACCGTGGAAGCCAACGTACTTCCACATGATAACCGGCACTCCTTCTTGCGGTCAGGAACGCAGCCGAACGCGGCAGCGCGCGGCCACGCTACCCACGCAAAATTCGCGCGCCACAACCACCTCAACGAAAAGGGTCAATCTCGCATCAGGAATTTGAACCATCATATCTCTGTGTCCTGCTATGGCCACGAGGTGGACACGTTCCTCATTGACTTCGCTGAACCTACAAGGGCAATGCCAGCCTCCATGATCGCCCTTAGTCATCGCAGGTCGAAGATCGTCAATCATGTCTCCCGCGCGAAATACTCTGAGAGCGCTTTCCCGAATGCGTCGTTATCTCGTTTGGCCAGTCACTTCGGAAGCGTCGGGGTCGGGCCCTTCAAAATCGGCCAGCATAGCTGGTTGGCGGCCAGTCCATGCAATGCATGAGGAGAAACCGCCAAGGAAGGTGGTCGCACTGCAAAATGTAGTGTCACCTAGAAGTCCGTGGAAGGCAAAGGGAATAGCACGCCTCTTCAAATATTCTGACATGGCACGCATGACCCCTGGGAGTATTCCGTCTCGGGCGTCAATGGTGTTCGCATGCTGTCCTGAAGCACGAATACGGAGCTCTAGCTCGAAAGTGTTATGCTGACCTTTAGTCTCGTCATTGTTCAGTCCACCTGCACCATCGCGGTGAAGTATTTTAGCTTTGTTGCCATATTTGGCCCACCAGTTGCAGTAGGCATCAAAAAAATGTGGGGATATCACCTCCGCTAGCGTACCTGATGCATCCATCGGTGAGAATGAAGGCACTATGCTTCTTGCAAGACATCAGTCCACACTCGGCATCCTCGTTGAAACGGCCACACAAATTGATGTATGGCAGGGGACGCGCCTGGACGTTCCCATGCCCGGCGCTGTCGATATGTGCCAACGATAGGTTATATAATTTTGGGCATGGTGTCGTCCAAACCGACTCGTTGTAGAATGTGACGCAGATTCGGCCCCTTATCGTGAGGGAACCGTATATGTAGATTCCTCAGTTCCTTGTCGACGACGGCTGGATCCGCGCTCCAGAATGCCCTGAGACTGGCCTGGGTATTGGATCGGGACCACTCTGGCAAGGTCGTCGGGCCAGTGCCATGGACAGCCACTCGGGGAGAAACACGAGCATGGGGTGGAGCCCGAAGGTTCCGATATATAGCGGAGCATGGGCCAAAATGGCTACAGGCAGGAGAAAGATGAGGTGGGGGAAAGGAGCGCCTTGGCTGGCGGGCGGTGACGACATGGCTACAATCAAGAAGCGGATTAGAGGGGGAGGAGCAAAAGAGGCAGGCGGAAAGGGTTCCTCATTGTCCATGTCTCCCCCTTTTCCACTACAACGTCCGACGACGACCACGACCACGACCACGACGACGACGACGACGACGACGACGACGACGACGACTGTGGCACGTCAGTAATCAGCCCGGGAGGGGGAACAGCTCCGCCTCGGATGTATACGATACGCATAAGAACTTCTATACAAAAGGCAACCGTTTTGAAACTGCCGTACAGGGGGGTACACGATCCCCTCGACGGCGCCCACGAAGACCCTCTGGCGCGCGCGATCAAAAGAATTTGTCAGCGCCCCGCTGGGGGGGGACCTCATTTCCAAATCACAAGCTGCCATAAACACACATGGGAAACGAAACGCGTTCCTGGGCATTCTGGGACGGTGCCGGCGCGAATCGTGACGCCAGCGGCCCCCTCCCCCGCTTCAGGCAACATCCGCTGTCGCAAAGGAGTAATGGCGTAATGGCTGGCCACGTGGGCCTCCGGAGGGAGGCCCTCGCCCACGCGGCGCCGGGCCCGCTCCGAGGCATCCCGGCCAGGACGCGCACCGGGGAGTAGGCTCGGGCGCCGACTCTGACAGACGACGGCGCCGACACTGAGAGGCGAAGGCGATGACGACGACGACGACGACGACGACGACGACAACGACGACGACGACGACGACGACGGCGGAAGCGGTGGCGGCGGCGGCGACGACGGCGACGATCACGACGGCGGCGACGAAGACGACGACGGCGACGACGGCGGCGACGACGACGACGCTGACGGCGGCGGCAGCGGCGAATACGACGAGGGCAACGCCGGCGAGCACCACGACCCCGCAACTATCACCACCCACCAGTGACGACCACTACGAACAAGAGCGCAGTGTTGTCGACACCTGCAAGCGCCTCCCCCAAACAAGAGGGGAGGGAGAAAAGGACAGGGCGTCAAAGGACAGAGAGTAGAACAAGGGAGGATGATGGGAAGGAGGAAAAGGAAGGAAAGGAAGGAGACAGGACCTCCTCCTCATCATTCTCCTCCCCCTCCTCATCATTCCTCGTCCTCCTCCTCCTCTTCCTCCTCCTCCTCCTCCTCCTTATCACCATCATCATCATCATCATCATCATCATCATCATCATCATCATCATCACCACCACCACCACCATCATCATCATCATCATCATCATCATCATCATCATCATCATCATCATCATCATCACATCATCATCATCATCATCATCATCATCATCATCATCATCAGCAGCATAATCCTCATCATCAACAACATCTTCATCATCTTCATTACCGTCACCATCACCATCACCATGAACCATCATCATCATCATCATCACCATTATCATCATCACCATCATCATCATCATCATCACCACCACCATAATCATCATCATCATCATCATCAGCATCATCGTATCCTCCATCATCTACCGCCTCCTCCTCCCCCTCCTGCCCGGGGACCCGCTTTTCGTCCTGAGTCGTTTCGTAATGGTCCCGAGGTCTGGCAAGGGCCCCCACAGGCAGAAAATAGCAACAAAAACATTCAGCCATTATCTATCATGACGCGAGGCGGCGGCGGCGGCGGCAGCGACGATGACGAACACGACCTCTTTGCATGAGGGGAGGCGCTGTCCTTCGTCGCCGCCTGGAGCACGGACGCCGCGAGGGCCTGCCTGGAGGGCGACCCCGGCGGGGGGGCATCGGCGCCGGGCCCGTCCCTCCTCTCATCCATCCATCCCCCATCCATCGCCCCCCCTCCTCCCTCTGCCTCCCCACTCCACATCCTTTCTTTCGAAGAAGATAGTTACAGAGGCGGGAGGGCATCGGCGCCGGGCCGGTCCCTCCTCTCATCCATCCATCCCGCATCCGTCGCCCCCCCTCCTCCCTCTGCCTCCCCACTCCACATCCTTTCGTTCGAAGGAAATACAGAGGCACAAACACGACGGCCCGCGCCGATTTCTTGGATCGGCGCTGGCACGCCCCGGCGGTGCCCCAGGCGCCGCCCCTGGCGCGCCCCGCCAAGACAGGAATTTACAAGCGCCGATCCAGGAGAACCCCACGGACCTCCAAGATCGCAGCTACGTTTACGCAGACGTTGTCTTCATCAACTCCTCCTCCTCCTCCTCCTCCTCCTCCTCCTCCTCCTCTCCTCCTCCTCCCCTCCTCCTCCTCCTCCTCCTCCTCCTCCTCCTCCTCCTCCTCCTCCTCCTCCTCCTCCTCTCTCCTCCTCCTCCTCCTCCTCCCTCCTCCTCCTCCTCCCCTCTCCTCCTCCTCCTCCTCCTCCTCCTCCTCCTCCTCCTCCTCCCTCCTCCTCCTCCTCCTCCTCCTCCTCCTCCTCCTCCTCCTCCTCCTCCTCCTCCTCCTCCTCCTCCTCCTCCTCCTCCTCCTCCTCCTCCTCCTCCTCCTCCTCCTCCTCAGGCCTCCAGGGGTCCCTGCGGGGCTCTGGAGCCGTCAAAGACAACCCGGGATGAAAAACCAATCCCGTGAAGGGGTCCAGACCTCCTGAAAACCACGCTGTGCGAAAATCACGACGTCGGAGTTCTGGGCACTCGTCCTCCCTCCGTCTCCCGTCCCTCTTCCTCCGTCCCCCCTTCCAGCAAGAATCCCCCCAGGATGCCGACAACGACATCTGACGTCCCTCCCTCCCTCCTCCGACCCTCCTCGTCTTCCTACGCGATGGTTCGAGTATGGATGAATCCGTGCTTCGGGCCCCTGGCACCCGCCGGTGTGATTTTTTCATCGCGCGGCCCCACGAGGTTCCGACCCCGACCACATCAGTGGGGCCAGTTTCGCCCCAGATCAACGTTCGATGGTTTCGCGGCCCGAAAACGGGTCCTGGAGGCCGAAATCGGGGGGGGGGATAAAAAGATTGAAAAAACTGGATTGCAGTAAACAGCGAACGCACGTCAGCGCAACTCCTGTCCCAAGGAGCTCGGTGGCGCTGGCAGCCGACGGGCCGAAAACTTGAAGGTGCGAAGGGTCGTGTGTATCGTTGCTGCTGTCAGTGGCCATGCCCGCGAATCCTCCGAACGATGGCGGCGTACGAAGGGCGCTGGCGACGTTGTTTGGTGCATGCTCCACGATGCGACCCACGCGCCTGAACATAGTCGCGAGACTGTTGATAAGTATCGGCCTCTGGCTGGGTATTGGTTGCCGCATGGCTGTAGCAGCGTCATGAACTGGCTAGCTGCGACACCGACCGCTCGGAGGAGCAGCCTGCTGTAGCCTTCCCACGACATCGCAGATCCACCGTCGCGCGCAGCTCGGCATTGCAACGTGACAAGCTGCGAGAGCAGTGCGTCGGTGGTTCCGTTAGGTCGCAATGAGAACTAGAGAGTTCGCGGTCTGCCTTGAAACGCGACTCCCCGCCTAGTTGGTCGAAATGCGAGGCGAGGTTTTCGCGATGGAGGTAAGTCACGGCGTCCTCCTGCTGGCCATTGACCATGCCACCCTCCGTCAGCTCCGCAAAGCCCGTGGAGCGCGTGAGCTCGCGAGCGGCCCCACCAAGGTTGAGGATGACGGCAGCGCTTGTTGAGCGCTGTTCATGTCGGTGGCTAGCACACTCCAAACGAGCAAATCCTGTGCTCAGTGGCGGAAAGGATGCACGGACTCGTGCTCGGGTGACCATGAGAGCGGTAGGCAAGATGCGATGGCACCGGGGCCGCCGCAGCCCCTTATGGGCCGGCTCCACTAGGCATGATGCCTGTGAGACAGACAGGACGGCCGCGAAGAACGTGATGATGCTGCCCCAAAACGTCAAGATGGAGATTCTCCTCCATCAAGACTCACCACGACGATGGCTGCGTAGGCGCCTTGGGACTTGGGCCTGCGCAAGGGCGAGCGCCATGTCGAAGTGGCAGCCACGATGATGTCATTGTCAGTGGCGGTCGAAGCCGAGGTTGGTGAAGCTGGCAAATTGACCCTGCAGTGTTCCACTCGGGTGGCGCGATGTGCTCACAAGGACAGCCAGCACTACCGCAGGTGAATGTAAGTGCGAATGCGCATCCGCACCGCACTCTTCGCACGTTCCATGGATCGCGAGCTGGGATCACACCCAGCTCTGCTACCAATTAAAATTGCGGGGGTTGGAAGCTGCACGAGATAAATCATCGCGGCAATGAAAGATATTGCGGGGCTTTGCTCCTCATACAGTAAACAGATATGCATCGACGCTCGGGCCAAACAGCTCCTACTTGAGTGAGAATGAGGAGGAGGAGGAGGAGGAGGAGGAGGAGGAGGAGGAGGAGGGAAGAGGAGCAGAGGGAGGAAGAGGAGGAGGAGGAGGAGGAGGAGGAGGAGGAGGAGGAGGAGGAGGAGGAGGAGGAGGAGCGGTTTTGTTCAAGCCCCACCTCCCTGTCTTCCCCTCTTTCTCCCCCGCTCCTTGCCGCGGGCGGGCGCGCGAGCGCCTAAGGGGGGGGGGGCTCACACCCCTCCGCCGCGCGTCCGTCTCCTCCGCCTTCCGCCTCCTGCCTGCCCCCTCCTTTCCCGCTCCCCTCCCGATCCCCCCTCCGCGTTGCTGCATTTTCGGGGTGCGCACGCCGACACCCAGGTGGAGTTGCCCCCTCCACTTCAGGTGCTGGGAGAAACCTGCCGGATGGGTGCACCGCACCCCCTTCCATGTTTCCGGTGGGGGAGGACACTCCGCCGCGACACGCCCAGCCCCGGTGTACACGCGCCTCAAAATCAGGTGCGTGCAAGGGCTGCGGATTCAGCCGGAGAAGGAAGAGGAGGAGGAACTACCCCCCACACCACTTGTTGTAGTAATATCCACCCGATTAACCTGAGATCAAGATGGCGAGCGGGAATAAGATGAAGGGTGTGGGCAAACCATACGAGAGCTCAAACGAATTGTCGAATTTCGACAAAATAATTGTCAACCGAGGCCTCGTTATCAAAATCTCCATCGAGATTTTTCGAGCCAACTAGACCGCTGGCGCTGTCCTTTCGTCCGACACGCTGTGCTCGTAGCGTTGTATTGTTCTGATGTGTCCGGAGCTTTCGACCGCGTCGACACAGACATGCTTTTGCTTGAGTTGCGCGCTTTTAATGTTCACGGTTGTTTTTTATATGATGAAGAGCTGGCTTCGACCCAGGGTTGGCCGGGTAGTTGTTGGCGGGCAGCAGTCACATGCGCGGGGGGCGGGGGGCCTGCGCATCCAGGTGTCGACGGTCTGAAGCCCGCCTGCCGGGCGGGGAGCACGGCGGCGGGGGCGGTCTATCCCCGACGGGCGCCACGCCGGGGCCACGGAGGCGGCAGCGAGGAGGGGGGGGGGGCAGCGAGGACGGGGCGAGGGAGGGGGAGGGAGGAGGAGCGAGAGAGGAGAGGGGAGGGAGCGAGGAGGGAGGGGCAGGGAGGGGGAGCGAGGAGGGAGCGAGGAGGGAGCGAGGAGGGAGCGAGGAGGGAGCGAGGAGGGAGGGTGAGGGAGGAGGAGCGAGGGGGAGGGACAAGCCAGGTGCGCTCGCGCCGTATCTGGCATCCTACCCCTCCCTCCCATCCCTTCCATATCGCTGATGTGTTACCTGTCGGCGGACGCGTGTGAAAAGATCCCATATCGCGTTATGCGCAGTCAGGGAAAGGAAACTTATGGGACCTGCGCGACCTGGGGGACCTCTGTGGCCTGTGGGGCCTGTGACACCTGCGACACCTGCGCGACCTGCGGAGCCTTTGGAACATGTGGGACCTGTGGAAACTGTGGGAAATGTGGGGCCTGCGAGACCTGTGGAACCCGTGGCACCAGCGGGACCTACGGGACCTGTGGGACCTGGGGGACCTCCGTGGGACCCGTGAGACATACGACAATTCTGCGGACTGTGGGACCTGTCGGACCTGTGGGACCTACAGGGCATGCGAGACCAGCGACACATGCGGGACCTGTGGAACTTGTCAGACCAGTGGTACCTGAGGGATCTGCGGGACGACCTGCCACGCTTGTGCCGGGCGTTGGCAGACCTGGGTTTAGTGGGACCTGGTTCAGTGATGTGTACTGGGGGACGCCCCCCCCGCCCCGTTCCACTAACCGGAACTGCCGTCACCCGGAAAAATACCAGCTACGGCAGACCTGGTTTGGAGATTCTGGCCACTTTGAGGGTTCTGGGGATCTGCTACTAACCGGGTCCCTTTAACTGGGGTCCTGGCTACACCCGATTGTGGGTCCTTTGGGACGTGTGAGACCCGTGGGGCCTGCGAGGCCTGCGAGACCTGTGGACCTGCGAAACCTGCGGAATCCAGAAAAGTGGCCCACGCTGGGGCGGGAGCGGTATTCTGAACGACGGGAACACAGCGCCGATCCAAAAATGAGGCCCACAGTGCAGCAAAAGTACAGTTTTAGAAAACATGCACACGATCGGATTGTTTTTTCATTTAAACCCATGAAACGCCAGTTCGGGCAAATCCTGCGTAAATTAGCCTGACGAGGGACCCAACCATATGCAGGTGCGAGTACCGCAATAGTGATTCATTTTTTCGGTGGCGATCCCTATGAGGCAACGAACCGTGCTAGGGGCGTGCCGACATGAGTGGCGTGGTACACAAAGTGAACGAAAACGATTGATCTGAGTACGTAGGGAGACTGAGCGCGGGTGAATCTGCGCGCGTGCGTCTGACTGTGAATGATCTGCGTGCGAGCGAGTCTACGTGCATGAATGCGAATATGACAAAGCGTGGTGCAAATGTGTATGAATGCCAATAGTTTGACAACGACTGCCTCTGAATACTCGTGACGCTGGGCGTGGCCGCCGCAAGGAGCTTCCCCGGGACTCCCCGACGGCATCGCCCGCGCGCCGCGACGCCAATGTCGGCGCGCCCCCCCGCGAGGATCGCGCCCGCTTCCTCCCCTTCCTTTACTCCCTCTTTGCCCGCGCACTCAAAAGTCCAAGGCTGCGGGAGCAGCGCAGCGCGGAGCCCCCGCGACGCGCGCAGGTCACCCCGGAGGGGTCCCAGCGACGCGCGCGGGTCGTCCACTGCGCGGAGCGAAGAGAGCTAGCTGGCTGGCTGATAGCGGGCAAGGCTCTTGCCGCTGGGCAGAGCGACGACGGGCGAGCGAGGCGCTGGGCGGAACGCAGCACGGAGCCCCCGCGACGCGCGCAGGTCGCCCCGGAGGAGTCCCAGCGACGCGCGCGGGTCGCCCGCTGCGCGGAGCAAAGAGAGCTAGCTGGCTGGCTGGGACCTGCGGTGGGGCTCCATATGGGGCCACGTAACGCTGTACTGGGCAAAGGAGACGCATGTGGACTGCGCCACGGGGACCTTCGGTGGAGCTCCCTATGGGGCCACGAAACGTGTGAGGGATGTGCCGGAATGGGTGTGCGGGACGCATGCGGGCACACCCACTGAGACCTTCGGTGGAGCTCCCTATGGGGCCACGAAACGTGTGAGGGGTGGGACGACATGTGTGTGCGGGACGCATGCGGGCACACCCACTGGGACCTTCGGTGGAGCCCCCTATGGGGCCACGAAACGTGTGAGGGGTGTGCCGAAATGGGTGTGCGGGACGCATGCGGGCACACCCACTGGGACCTTCGGTGGAGCTCCCTATGGGGCCACGAAACGTGTGAGGGGTGTGCCGAAATGGGTGTGCGGGACGCATGCGGGCACACCCACTGGGACCTTCGGTGGAGCTCCCTATGGGGCCACGAAACGTGTGAGGGGTGGGCCGAAATGGGTGTGCGGGACGCATGCGGGCACACCCACTGGGACCTTCGGTGGAGCTCCCTATGGGGCCACGAAACGTGTGAGGGGTGTGCCGAAATGGGTGTGCGGGACGCATGCGGGCACACCCACTGGGACCTTCGGTGGAGTTCCCTATGGGGCCACGAATAGTGTGAAGGGTGTGCCAAATGGGTGTGCGGGACGCATGCGGGCACACCCACTGGGACCTTCGGTGGAGCTCCCTATGGGGCCACGAACGTGTGAGGGGTGTGCCGAAATGTGTGTGCGGGACGCATGCGGGCACACCCACTGGGACCTTCGGTGGAGCTCCCTATGGGGCCACGAAACGTGTGAGGGGTGTGCCGAAATGGGTGTGCGGGACGCATGCGGGCACACCCACTGGGACCTTCGGTGGAGCTCCCTATGGGGCCACGAAACGTGTGAGGGGTGTGCCGAAATGGGTGTGCGGGACGCATGCGGGCACACCCATGGGACCTTCGGTGGAGCTCCCTATGGGGCCACGAAACGTGTGAGGGGTGTGCCGAAATGGGTGTGCGGGACGCATGCGGGCACACCCACTGGGACCTTCGGTGGAGCTCCCTATGGGGCCACGAAACGTGTGAGGGGTGTGCCGAAATGAGTGTGCGGGACGCATGCGGGCACACGCACTGGGACCTTCGGTGGAGCTCCCTATGGGGTCACGAAACGTGTGAGGGGTGTGCCGACATGGGTGGTGATAATGATGATGACGACAGATGATGATGACGATGACGATGATGGGGATGATGACGATGATGATGAAGATGGGAGGAGGGAGGGGGCAGCGGGAAGGAAGGAACGCGGGGCGCTGTCTCTTCAAAACGAGGACCCAACACCACAGGATGGTTGGGAAAAACAGGGCGCGGAAGGGGGGCGAATACTTTCAGGACGTACTCGGGCGAGAAAAAACATTCCCCTAACAATGTTTGCATTCAGCGTTTCGTTGTCCAAAATACTGGGCATGTGCGCCGATCTGGCGGCTATGTTGTCGCCGTCGCCGCCCCGTCGCCGCCCCGTCGCCGCCTCGTCGCCGCCCATCGTCTGAGCGTATGCGTCGGTTTGGCGGCTATGTTGCCGCCGTTTCCTCCCCGTCGCCGCCTCGCCCCCGCCCATCTTCTGGGCCTGTGTCGGTCTGGCGGCTATGTTGTCACCGTCGCAGCCCCGTCTCCGCCTCGTCGCCGCCCATCGTCTGAACCTGTGCGTAGGTCTGGCGGCTATCGCCGCCCCGCCGCCGCCTCGCCACCGCCCATCGTCTGGGCCTGCGCGTCGGTCTGGCAGCGATATTGTCGCCGTCGGCGCCCCGTCGCCGACCATCGTCTTGGCCTGCGCGTCGGTCTGGCGGCTATGTTGTCACCATCACCGCCCAGTCGCCGCCTCGTCGCGGCCTCGCGTACTTGCACCACGTAGACCGCACGGTATAGATTGCACCACATATATCGGGCTGCATAGTTTGCACAACTCAGTTCGCACAACATAAAGTGCACAACACTCACACACATCGCACCACATATATTTTCCGTTCAAAAAAAAAGGAATAAGCTTTACCCCCCCCCCTCCGCGGAATTAACGGGCCACCATTTCGCATTGCAATGTTCATACGATTGTGCCCCATCGTCCATCCGAACTATGAATTCATATTATCCCAGCCAAAAAAGCATTATCTTCTGCAAAAAATACGATGGACGCGCACTCGCTCATCAAAAAACACAAATTGTCAAGAAACCCTTGCAACAAAATTAGCCTGGCGAAAGACCCAACCATAAGCGATTGCTAATACAGCAATTGTGGGCATTATCTTCGGTGGAGCTCCGTATGGGGCCACGAACCGTGTGAGGGGTGCGCCAAAATCGGGCGGGGCCGCCATGCGGACCCTGCCACTGGGGCCTTCGGTGGAGCTCCCTATGGAGCCACGAGCCGTGTGAGGGGTGCGCCAAAATGGGGCGGGGCCGCCATGCGGACCCTGTCACTGGGGCCTTCGGTGGAGCTCCCTATGGGGCCACGAACCGTGTGAGGGGTGCGCCAAAATTGGGCGGGGTCGCCATGCGGACCCTGCCACTGGGGCCTTCGGTGGAGCTCCCTATGAGGCCACGAACCGTGTGATCGGTGCGCCAAAATGCGGGGCCGCCATGCGGACCCTGCCACTGGGGCCTTCGGTGGAGTTCCCTATGGGGCCACGGAACGCGTGAGGGACGTGCCGAAACAGAGACATGCGGAGGGCAGAGGCAAGGGGGAGGGCGGAGGCAGCGGGAGGGAGGAAGGAAGGAGTGACGCGGGGCGCTGTCTCTTCAAAACGAGGACCCAACACCACAGGATGGTTGGGGGAAAAAACACAAAAACAAAAAAAAATGCCGAAGTGCACACGCGCGCGTCGTCGCGCGTGCATGCCGAAACTCTTCGAAAACAATCGGTTTCGGAAGGATGTCAAAATCGAGCTCCCCTGAAGGAAAAAAACTTATTCACAAGAACAACAACAAAAAATACGCGCGCGCTTTTGTGAA